TTCGGGGTTGTGTTGGGTCAGGGGCTTCTCATACGTGCTTTCTGTTTTGTTTTCCCCTTCCTGTTCCTGTTCATCCCCTTGGTCCATTCACTCCATCCTTGTCTCTCTGGTAGGCCGAGAGCCTGGCCGAGGAGCTGCAGGGGAAGGAGCTAGCGCTTCGTAGTCTTCAGGAGAACTTGAACGAAGTCAGTCGAGTGAAGGAGGCTTTGGAGAAAGAGTTTCGGAGTTTGGTGAGTACCAGGGGAGTCGGACGCTGATCTTTACATTGCTGAGGGCAAAGCGAAGCCTCCTCAGGCGAGCTCGGCCCTATCGCCTCTGAGGCTCACATTGTGTGTGTGTATGTGCTGGTGAGCAGAGTCGCCGTGTGTGTGCGGGTATGTTTGTGTGTTTGTGTGTTTGTGTGCATTGTATGCGTTGTGTGTGTGTGTGCGCGCGTGTGTGCTGGGGGCAGGCAGGGGGCCCACAGCTGATGGTGGCCCCCGGCTCCCCGCAGGGGGAGAAGGTGGACGTGAGCCGCAGCCAGTCCCAGGCTCTGCAGGCCGAGCACGCCAAGTCCACCACGGAGAGCCAGGCGCAGCACGAGGAGGCGCTGCAGGCCCTGCAGAAGCTGCTGCTGCAGGCGGAGGAGAAGCTGCAGGCGGTGCAGGCGGAGAACGGGAGCCTGCTGCGGGAGGTGGCCGAGCTGAAGACGCAAGCCGACAAGGCCAAGGTGTGTGGGCGCAGGGCCGCCGTCTCGGGGTCGGGCTCTGTTGGGGGCCTCGGCCTGCAGCCTCAGACACTTCCTCCGTCCGTCGGCGCCTGTGAGAGCCAGAAGGGGGTTGCTCCCGGGGCGCCCGGCAGAGCACATAGAAGCCCAGGGACCCCAGCTTGGGTTGTCTGTTTTGTTTTTAGCTTGCTCAGTAAGTTCAGGCCTTCGTGTTTTCACTTGACTGCTCAAAGGCATTTTTTCATGTATCAAAGAAATGTTAAGGTTCGAAGCTCAGTGGGGAGAAATAAAGCGGCTGGAACTAGTGCAGTGAGAGGGCACTTGCTGTGCACGTGACCCACCGGGGGATCCCCAGCATCCCCCATGGTCCCCCAAGCACCCAGGAGGAAGCCGTGACCTCTGCCGGGTGTGAACCCCAAAACAAGAAGGAAAATAATGTACACACACATATATGTGTGTACATACATAACATGTACATATGTGTACATCTTTATATCCATATAATAAGTGTATTTTAATTCATATGTACATATTTTGATACATTTTCAGTTTTACACACTTGGTCCCATGTATAGTTTATACATATATGTGTATGCCTATACATATATGTGCTTGTATGTATATGTGTGTGTATACATATCTATAAGCCAGTGGAAAGAAAACGGAACCGAGCTTACATCAGAGGAAACCAGGGCTGCTGAGCAGCGGCCATGGCCCGCGTGTGTGTTGGTGCCCGGCCTCTTTCCACCACGCACCAGAGCCAGGGCTACGTCTCCTCTCTGGACCACCTGCACGGCCCAGTTCTGTGGCCAGCAGCCTCGTGTGCATGCTCAGGTCAGTCCCATTCCAGTAACCTGACCGTCAGCGGTCAGCTGCCCAGCGCACGCCAGTAGCCTGCTGCGGCTCATGGCTGCTGAGCTGGACAGAGAAGATAGCCCTTGCTGCAGAAAGTTCTGGAAAGTACATGGCGGTTAAACTGTGGTGTGCATTGAGACTCAGAAACGAAGACGCACAACCCGTTGCTGACGGGCAGGGAGAGCAGGTGAGGGAGACTCTGGCCCGTGTGCGGCCACTCCTCCTGGAGCCCCTGGGCCCCTCCCAAATTTCTGCAAACACTGCCCTCCCATTGTTCATCGATTTGCTCGAGCGGGCCCACTAATGTCTCCATTTTGAGACTTGTTGTTACTGTGTTTGGCAAGCAAAACCTGTTGGCTTCAGTCTCCAAAGCTTGGTGGATTAGTCTGGATTTTCTATAAAGTGTAAAACTTTTGGGACTAAGTCCATTTCCTGCCTCTGTTTGTCCCTGTGAAAATCGTTTTGCAAGCAATGGTTGCTTTTCCCTTCCCCTCCTGCACAAAGTTCAACAACAAAATACTTTTTGTAGTTCTTTGAATTGTACTGGAAACTAGTTTTTTAATGCATCCCTTCTATGACAGAGTGATGGATTTTGTAATGGAATAATTGAAGTGGGGGGAAAAATCTTATGCCCCAATGTCAAGATCCAACTGTACTTAAAACTTCCGGGGAGCTGTCAGGAATAATTTCAGACGGCATTTCAAAAATAAAATGGCTGATAGTAGAATGGGTAGTGCTGCCTTGTACTTGGCCAACCCGGGTTGATCCCCAGCATCCCGTATGGTCCTCCGGCCCTGCCAGCAGTGATCCCTGAGCACAGAACCCTGAGCGAGACCCGAACACCACCAGGTGTGGGGCCCCCATCCACAAAATAGGCAGGTAGATATGTTGACCCTGTGAAGTTAACTGTGTTTGAGCCTCTCCATCCTGCGAGTGTGTGTGTGTGTGCGTGTGTGTGCGTTTGTGTGCGCGCACGTGTTTGTGTGCTTGTGTGTGCATGCACGTATGCACGCGTGTGCAGGTAAGACTACTCTGCCATTTTCATTTCTGGTGTTTAGGCCACATTAAGTGCTTGGCTTGCTTGTGCCTGCTTGATCTCATTCTTGTTTCCGTTCTTCCCCGCTTTTGTTTCTGTAGTCATTAACTTCCCTAATAACATCAGAGGAAATTGAGCTGATGTCGGAGGATCTCAGGGCCCTGAGGTCAGAGAATCAATTGCTGGCGAAGGAGAAGCTCTCTCTGAAGTCAGAGAGAGAGTCATTGCTATTGAAGTTGAAGGAAGCGGAGGCCAAAAACTCTTCGCTGCGGGAAGAGCAGAGGAAACTCTGGCTGTTGAACCAAGCCATACGCTGCGACAAGGAGAAGGTCATCGAGGCCAGGCGGGCCGCAGAGAAGCTCTGGCAGGAGGAGCAGCTCGGCCGAGAAGCCCTCGAGGCGGAGAAAGAGAAAGTGCTGGAAGAAGCCAGGGCGGTGCAGGAGGAGCTCCAGAGGGTGGGCGCGGAGAACGACGCCCTGCAGGTCGCCAAGGTGGGGCTGCAGGCCCTGGTGGAGGAGCTGCAGATGAGCAAGAGCAGCCTGGTGGCTGAGTGTAAGAAGGGCCTGGAGGAGAGGGGCCAGCTGGAGGAGCATGTCAAGAAGCTGGTTCTGGAGAACCTATCCCTGGCCAAGGACAAGGACAACATCATCCAGAAGCTGCAGTGCTCCTATCATGAGCTGGCTTGGGATCAGAAGTCGCTGGTGCAAGAGATCGAGGAGCTCACGGCCGAGAAAGAGTCGGCCCTCGAGAAGCAGTTGGAGCTCGACAGCCTGTGCGTGGCCCTGAAGCTGGAGCGTGACGGCCTGGCTCAGAGGAACAGGGAGCTGCAGCTCGAGAAGGACCTGCTGCGCCAGGAGCAGGAGAAGCTGGGCGCCAGCCTGGAGGCGGCGCTACAGGCCAAGGAGCTGCTGGGCACCGAGGCCAGCTGCCTGCGCACGCAGCTGGACGAGGCCACCAAGACCGTGCACAAGGCCGAGCTGGAGGTGCTGCAGCAGGAGCTCCAGGGGCTGGCGGCCAGCCAGGGCGCCCTCGAGGCGGCGCTGCAGGAGGCCAGGGACGCAGCCCGCAGCCTGGAGAAGACACACGCCAGCGTGCTGCAGGCCAAGGAGGCGCTTGACGCCGAGCGGCAGGAGGAGTGCCGGCGGCTGGCGGAGGACAGGCTCGCGGCACAGCAGGCCCTGGCGCAGGAGCGGGAGGCCCGCGCCAAGGAGACCCAGGCGGCCGCCCACGAGGCCAGCCAGCTGCGAGGCCGCCTGGGGCTGCTGGAGCAGGAGGCGGAGGAGCTGCGGGCGCGTGCCCAGGGGCTGCAGGCCGAGCACCTGGACCTGCTGGAGGAGAAGGCGCGGTCAGACAAGAAGGTGGCCGAGATCCTGCGGGAGAAGGAGCAGCTGGCCGGCAGTTACTTCCTCCTCCAGAAGGAGGTCAGTCGGCTGGCCCAGACCAGCAGCCACGTCTCGGCCAACCTCCTGGAGGCCCAGAAGGAGAACCGCATGCTGAAGAAGGACAAGATCAGGCTCACCTTCAAGATCAGAGAGCTCAAGACGCTGCAGTCTTTTACGGTAAAGTGGAGCAGGCCCGACCCCCGTTGGCCCCGGGCACCCCCTTTTAGCGGTTAAGAGGATTGCTCTTTGTCGGCACAAGGAGAGGTGCACCCCCACGGAACCCGTGTGTCACGGGCTGTTTGCTGCGGGCGCAGGGACAGCTCGTCACCACGTGCCTGGTGACCTCTAGGACAAGGCATAAGCTGTGAATAAAACCGAGAAAGGACAGTATGTTCATTTCCGGGGGGAGTTCTCACGGAAGATTGCACTGTGGCTCTTCAAGACGTAAGGGAAGGCATGAGAGAGGCACTAAGTTGTAAAGCAAAGCATTGTCTTCCGGGGGGACTTTGAGCGGTTGCCCTGAGTCTGCTCACTTGGGACTCGGGGGTGCCCTGTGCCACCAGCAGTGTGCCCGGTGCAGGGCAGCCTGGACTCGAGGGTGCCTGGTGCCGGGCAGGTGTTCTCTCTTCCCACCTCACTCAGGGTTTACCTTTCTCCCATTCCCACACCTGTGCTCACTGCTCACATCTCCTCTCCTTCCCCCCCGCCCCCACGCTTTCCACCCAGGCCTGCTTAGCTGTCCGCTCATGTCATTTTTATTCTGTGTGAGGAATGGAGGCTCTTGGGAGCCCTGGGCTGTTTCTGGGTGTCAGTCTTGCTGCTGAGCGGCTCAGACGTGAGTCCCCGCAGGATGAACCGGCGGCCAGCGGGGCCGGAGCCACTGTGGCAGGTGTGGGTGGTTTGTGGGGCATTTCGCGCTGTGTTGTGCCACTGTTGCCAACCCCTCCCTGCCCCCCCCCCCCGGCCTGGCTCAACGAGGTTTCTCTCTCCAGGCTGTGCAGACAGCGGAAGATGCCAGGCATTTTATGCAGCAACTGTCCCAGGAGAAGACAGAGACCCTGGCCTCCCTGGAGGACACCAGGAACACCAATGCAAACTTGCAGAATGAGGTGGGTGATGGTGGTGACCAGGGCGTGTAGGCCCGGCCTCAGCCTTGAGAGAAACTATATCCTGGGCCAGAGCGATAGCACAGCGGGGAGGGCGTTTGACTTACACACGCCAGACCCAGGTTCAATCCCCGGCATCCTATCTGGTCCCCTGAGCACTGCCAGGAGTAATTGGTCCCTGGTTCTCGCATGGGACAGGAGGGGAAGTGTACCCCTGCATGACCCCTGTATGACCCCTGGGGAGGTGCTGCGCGGAGTGACCACACAGGATCCGGGGGACATGGGGCGGCCTGGCGAGATCAATGAACAGCTGACCACTCCCAGACTGCTCGGCGGAGCAAGGAGCCCGGCAGGGACTGGACGCCCCAGTTAGCTCGCCCAGAGCCTGGGCCGGGACAGGAAGAGAAGCCACATGTGTTGACATACGCAGCATTTCAAGGCTCTTTGATGACCGTGAGAAGGCGAGCCAGTGCCCTCTGACCACACAGCCCCACTTTCCCGGGCTCGAGTGACTGCTGACGGCCTGGGCTGCTCCTGCCTCGCCAGGAGTGATCCCTGAGCACAGAGCCAGGGCATAGTCCCCACCGCACCAAACAAACCAAACTGACGACCCACAAAGGTTATAGATGAGCATGTATACATACACAGACATGTACATATGTATATATGCGTGTATGCTTCAAAAGAGTCGGGGAATACCTACCATTTAAAATATCCGAGAGTGGGGCCGGAGCTACAGCACAGCAGGTAGGGTGTTTGCCTTGCACGTGGCCAAGCCAGGTTCCATCTCCGGCATCCCATATGGTCCCTGAGTGCAGAGCCAGGAGTCACTCCTGAGCAACGATGGGTTGTAACCCAAAAGCCCCCCCCCCCCAAATGAATTGATTAATCACAATAAAAGAAGCCAAAAAGAAGGAAGCTGAGGAAGAAGAGGCGGTGCTCACCTGGCGCGCGTGAGAACCAGGGGCTGGGCACACGCTGCCGGAACCCCATCCCCACATGCTCCCAGCACAAGAGGTGATGCTTACGGAGTGAAAGGCCCCATGGACAAGGACACATCCCTTCAGTCAAGGGGTCACGTCCTTGCCAGAGCCGAGAAGCCAGACCCCTCCACAGCCCTTACTCCTGCTGCTCTCCCAGAACCTGGGCTTCGGGCTCCCATAAAATTGGCAAATCTTCACTTTGCCAGAGTCGAACACCACTTTGGAGGGCCTCCTTCCCATCAGGAAGGTCCGGTCGCAAACGGAAACGTCCACCAACATGTGGCTGTCCCGGCCACGTTGTGCATGCTCTGGGCGCAGAGCTGGGGAGTCTGGTCCTCTGGGCCGCCTTCCTGCTTCTTGCTCCTGTCGAGGGAGACAGCTGGGTGGGGTCTTCTGGGGTGTGCACACTTGGCTGCAGACCCCAGTGCCCGCACCTACCATCACCAGGCTTGCGTCTGGCCTGCGGCAGGAGTCAGCCTTGGGGCCTCCTTGATGTCTCTCCTTCCCAAACCCCCTTCCATCCCACCTGGCCTGCAACACTTTATAATTTGAATCCTCTCCAAGGAAGGGGACCATCTGGGTCCCAGTGCCCTGTGGAGTTCCCGCACACCCTCACTTCCTGCACTTCTGTACTTAACAGCCGTTGTCCTGGACAGCACATGTGGGCTGAAGTGAACTTTGCATGTGGGCTGTGGAGGTGGACCCTGCATGGGCTTGTTGGGAACTGAACATTTCCATGTTTTTTTTTTGTTTGTTTTCTTCACCTGGAGGAAGAGAGATCTGTGTTTCTTGGCTCCAGTGTGGGAGGGCCTGGGCACTCTCAGAGACTCCTCATCAGAACTTGCCCCGAGGGAGAAAAAGAATCAGTCAGCTTTATGGTTTTCTTTCTTCTTTCTTTGGGGGCCACACCTGGCGATACTCCGGGCTTCCTCCTGGCTCTGCACTCAGGAATCACTCCTGGCTGCTCTCCAGTGGCCCCTATGGGATGCCAGGGATCAAACCTGGGTTGGCTGCGTGCGAGGCAAGCACCTTTCCCGCTGTGCTATCACTCAGACCCAAACCTGCCAGTTTTTAAGTGAAACATGAATGTTTGTGCCTATAGTCATGCTTACCTTTGTAAAGTGGGATTCCCCCCCCCCCCGCCCCGTGGATTTTAAAGAAGTGAGTCTGTCTTTGTAGGAGAGGGAAGGCCCTCTTGACTCCCTGCTCTGAGAGGAACCGAGGGGGCCCAGCATGTCCTCCTGGGGTCTTCCCTGGGGCACCCGGGAGCTTGCGCTCAGGAAGGGAAAGGGGAGCTCTGGCTGCCTCCAACCCTGGGGCGGGGACTGGAAGCGGGGCCCAGCCTCCTCTGTGGCGGGCTCCGATGGCTCCCGCAGATGGCTCACCGTCTCACGCTCTCCTTTAACACAGATCGATTTCCTGAATTCCGTGATCGTGGACCTCCAAAGAAAGAATCAGGACCTCAAGATGAAAGTGGAGATGATATCCGAGGTGGCTCTCGACGGGAACGGGGACGACTCAACAATTACGACGACAACTTCGGCCCGGCCACCCCATTCTCTGCACTGTGCAGCAATCACCAGCACTTGAAGGATGACATAACCAGCTATTTGTGAAACACCTAGAATAACCATTTTACTGTCTTTACGAGGTTTACATTTTTCACTGTGGTTTTAGATGAATGTATGATGAGAAATTCAACATTACTAATTTTGGATTTTCTTACCACAGAAAGATTGAATGAAGGACCTCAACCATCAGAAGTTTATCATCCAGTTTCAATCTATTTTTCTTTATTTGAATGTTTTCTAGTTCTGTCAAAAGTGATAATGTACCATCCAGGCTACATGTATAATAAGAACTTCTATAATTATATGTATGATTTTGATGTATTTTCCTCTGGAGATTATCAGCTGTCTGACAAGTGAAAGATCTGGATCCATTGAAATTTTTAGTAATGACCATTATTGAAATTGTTTCACAAACTATGTAAAGCAGTATTAAAATTTGAGCAAGCAAGTGTTCTATATCTACTTTAATAAAATTATTTATTTTTTGCCAGTGATAACTGATTATTCTCAGGTTTCTTTAGAAAAGATTTTTGGCTAGCAGTGAAGAACTATAGAGTCAAATGAGTCAAACAGTTTCTACAATGGAATTCTGATACACCAATTTCTTTTTGTTTCTTTATGTTTGTGCCACCCCTGGTGATGTCTTAGGGCTTATTCATGGCTCTGCACTCAGGAATCACTCCTGACAGTGCTTGGGCAGACTATATGGAATTACAGGGATTGAAGCCAGATTGGCCAAAGCAAATGCCCTACCAGCTGCCCTATTGCTCTGGGCCTGTAAACCATTTTCTTAAAAGCGTTTATCTTGGGCTAAAGAGATAGTGCAGTGAGTAGGGTACTTGCATGTGGCTGATCTGGGTTCAATGGCAGGAATCCCATCCAGTCATCTGTGTCCTGGCAGGAGCAATCTCTAAGTGCAGAGGCAGGAGTAAACCCTAAGAAGCACTGGGTTGGGGGTATGGTGCCACCAGCAGGTCAGTCTGTACCTGTGAGGCGAGAGCATCAGCAGCCTGATGGCGCCTTCAGACTTCCAGGTACCCCCAAATTGCTGCCGTGCGTTTGGCCAGACCCCAAAAACTTGAGGCAGAGTTGACCAAGAAAGTAAACAGGTAAAAGATATGTGGGAGATATACCCACAAACCACCTCCAGTTCAGCTATATAATTGGAGACATGGCCTCTCTGGTTCCTGATTGAACTGCTTAACAGCCATGATCCCAGAGACTCAGAAACAAATCTCAAAACCCAATGTTTTTTGGCAGAGATGTGTCCAGTCCCTGCAGTAGGTTAGAGGCGCTGGGCCACCCCAGGTGGGAATAGATTTCGTGCCCTGGCCTGTTCTCCCTGGCAGCCCACTGGTCGCCATCCTCCAGAGGCCACAGGACAATCAGGTTTGGGCCCAAAGTGACAAGACACGTAGAGCCTCATGGGATGGGGGTGGAGCTGGCCCTTTTCTCCCCAACAAGACCCCCAAGTCGTCACCCACAAACGGCCTCTCTGGCTTCTGATCGAGCTGTTTTACGGCCATGATCTCAGAGACGCAGAAACAAATCTCGAAACTCAGCAACTTTTGGCAGAAATGCGTCCAGATCGCACAATAGGTTACTGTTGCCGGGCCACCCCGGGGGGGAAAGGGTGCTCTCCCTCCGCCTGCTCTCCCGTGGTGGCTCATTGGCCACCATCCGCCAGAGGCCAGTGGACAGTCAGGTTTGGGCCCACAGTGACGAGACACGTAGGGCCTCATGGGATGGGGGTGGAGCTAGCCCTTTCCTAAACAAAAAGACCCCAAGTTGTCACCCACAAACGGCCTCTCTGGCTTCTGATCAAGCTGTTTAACGGCCATGATCCCAGAGACTTAGACACAAATCTCGGAATCCAGTGGCTTTTGGCAGAAATGCATCTGGACCCTGCAGTAGTTTACTGTCGCTGGGCCATTCCAGGGAGGAAAGGGTGCTGTCCCTCCACCTGCTCCCCCTTGGCGGCTCGGTGGCCGCCATCCTCCAGAGGCCATTGGACAGTCAGGTTTGGGCCCTCAGTGATGAGACAAGGGGGACCTCATGGGATGGGGGTGGAGCCAGCCTTTTCCTCCCCGTCTCAACGTGACATCAAGTCGCCGCCCATGAACAGCCTCTCTGGGTCCTGATTAAGGTGCTGAATGACTATGATCCCAGAGACTCAGACACAAATCTCGGAATCCAGTGGCTTTTGGCAGAAATGCATCTGGACCCTGCAGTAGGTTACTGTCGCTGGGCCATTCCAGGGAGGAAAGGGTGCTGTCCCTCCACCTGCTCCCCCTTGGCGGCTCGGTGGCCGCCATCCTCCAGAGGCCATTGGACAGTCAGGTTTGGGCCCTCAGTGATGAGACATGTGGGGCCTCACGGGATGGGGGTGGGACCAGCCCTTTCCTCCCCATCCCAGCAAGACCCCTAGTCACCGCCCCCTAATGGCCTTTCTGGCTCCCGATCAATCTGCTTAACGGCCATGATCCCACAGACTCAGGAACAAATCTTGGAACCCAGCAGGTTTTGGCAAGAAATCCCTCCAGATTTAATTGTTAAAATTTTGGAATTTCAAAATCGCGCAGCCACTACTACAACCACGCGACATCATATGTTATTCATAACCAGGAATAGAAAACAAATTGTCTACTGTTGCCTTTTCAGCAGCTCTGTGTGTTGGGGTAAAATCCCAAATAATAATGGTGGGTCCAGTGTCAAAATATTGAATGTGATCAAAGTAGAGAGAGTGTAATGTGAAAATCATCTCTCCACAGGTAGGGGGAGGGTGTGGGATGGGGGCATACTGGGGTTTTGGGTGGTGGAGAATGGCACTGGTGAAGGTACGGGTCTTTCATTTTATAACCAAGATTTAAACCCGAAAGCTTCGTAACTGCTCTCATGGTGATTCAATAAATAAAATTATAAAAGATGAAAAATAATAGAACCACTGGGTGAGGTTTAATGGCAAAAAAAAACCCAAAACAAATAAAACCTTTATTGCATTATTGCAAAGCTTCCTAACCAATGTAGCCTAAAATGAATACCTTCAGTGATTCTCCATAGCTATTTGACAAGACGAAAATAAAGGGACACCATGCAGTACAGACACCATCAATCCATAAAGTCTGGGAAAGAAACTGGAAGTTGCTATATTATTAACCCAAAATTAACAGAACCAACGATGTTTATAAGCACCAACTCCTGTACGTTTGAAGCACACGTGTCCTCAGGTTGATTTTTCCTGAAAAAGAGCTTGAGCAAGAACGTTACTTTTAGCCTACATAAGCCCCAATAGCAGTCCTTGACTTTAGAATCTATGGTAGGGAATTCAAACGGTCTATACATGAATCATGGTTACTTTGCAGGATATCCAAATATTACATCGTACTGTGAATATTCTGTAATACTAGGTTGTAAGTCAGTAAACTGTAGATTGGAGAGAGAGCCCTGGGGCAAGGCTGATGCCTAGCAAGCAGCAAACCCAGAGTCTTTTCCCTGGCACTTCCTATGGTCCCCAGCATCCCCTCCAGGAGTGATGCCTGCGCAGTTAGGAGGAGCCTCAGCACTGCTGGATATGGTTCCCAACTCCCTTGACAAATACAAGCACCCATTTCGTGGAATATAATATGTATGGTCACGGTGCTCCTGTTGTTCATCGATTTGCTCGAGCGGGCCCAGTAACGTCTCCATAGTGAGACTTCTTGTTACTGCGTTGGGCATATCGAAAATGCCACGGGTAGCTTGCCAGGCTTTACGTGCGAGCGAGATACTCTCCGTAGCTTGCCGGGCTCTCCGAGAGGGGCAGAGGAATCGAACTTGGGTCGGCCATGTTGGCTGCGTGCAAGCAAACACCCTACCCGCTGTGCTATTGCTCCAGCCCATAATATACACACACACACACACACACACACACAGATATACAGGGGATTGATATCCAAGGCTAGGAAAATGGAGGCCAGGAGGACTGGTCAATGGTTGGAAGCTCCCACAAGCATTGGGGACAGAGTAGGGACCAGTCTGGCAATAATGCTTGGAAATGGTTGGAAATCACTTTGGACGGGAACTGGGTGTTGAAAGTAGGTAAAGAGATACACATAATAACCTTTCCATATCTGTATTGTAAACCGAAAGGCGTGTGTCAGAGAGAGGGGGAGACAGAAAAGAGGGAGAGAGGGAGGAGAGAGAGAGCACTGCAGAAAGGAGGAGGGAGAGAGAAGTGCCTTGCCTGCCTGGGGGAGTAGGGAGACCGGGAAGATTCATGGTGAGCGATGTACACTGGTGAAGGGACAGGTGTTGGGACATGATATGACTGAAATCCAACAATCATGATCAACTCCGTGTATTTCACTAGGATTGAAAAAATTCACAAAGAAAACAACATTTCTAAAAAGACAAAACAAATTTCAGTCGACCTTGAAATTTTGAGCGAGCAGCAGTGCAGTGGGCTGGTGAGCGGTGCTAGCAGAGCCTCACCTGGCAGCGGTGGTGGAGTCAGCTCCCAGGCTCCAGAAGCTTCCGAAGCTGGGCGCCTCTCCCTGGCCAACACTGAGCCTTACTCATCAGCGTTCTTTGGGGGGCTGCAGGGGCTGGAGCACAGGAAGCACATCCCTCCTGCAGGCAAATGCCTGCATCCCGGAGCTATCTCCGGCCCCGAAGGTGAGACTTTCCAGCAGGCCAAGGACCAATTTTGTCCTTAGTCACTTTGCGTCTTTTATTTATTTATTTATTTTGCTTTTGGGGTCACATCGAGGGGTGCTCGGGGGTTCCTCCTGGCTCTGCACTCGGGAACCACGCCTGGCGGTGCTCGGGGGACCCTAGGGGACGCTGGGGATCGAACCCGGGTCGGCCGTGTGCCAGGTGACCGTCCGGACCCCTGCGCTGCCCCTCGGTCCCTTCGCTTTATTTTATCACAACCAAAGGGACAAACAAAACCAACGTTCTGGCCCCACGCGGCGGTGTCCAGGGGCTGCCCAGGGAGGGGTCGCCCCGACGGCTTAGCACCACCACTGCCGGCTCTAAGGCCAGTCTCGGCTCCCGGGGGCTCCCGGGCCGCGCCGGGGCCACGCGAGACC